CCCTCAAGCCCCCCCCCCCCCCCGGCTACATGCCTGGTTCCATGTGTAATCAAATTGTCAGAAACTCGTTGCATTAAAAAGAAGGAGAAGATGGGAAAAAGAAATGTGGTAACCCATTTAAGATTAATGTGTTTTATTTTAGCATGTGCATTCTTGGATATAAACTCACTTCTTCAGATGTGGTAGTAGTATAAAATATAATAGGATCCAGAAAAAAATAACATAGGTGACACAGTAAAACATGTGGAAAGGATCTGTGGTCTTTAGCAGAAATCAAGAAAAATCATGCATCAATAATCTGCTATAGTGGCAAAAAAAACCTAAATGGAATTACAGGCTGCATCAACAGAACTATAGTGTCCATAACAATGGAAAAGAATGTTACTATTCTGCACTGGTCAGACTTGACCTAGAGCAGTTTTATACAGTACTTAAATTGTGATTTATGATGACCCAATCATGTGATTTTCTTGCCAAGATTTGTTCAGAGGGAGTTTGGCATTGCCTTCTGAGGCTGAGATGGGGCGTATGACCCACCATGGCTTAGTGGGGATCCAAACCATGGTCTTTGGGTTATACTTCAATGCTCAAATCACTTCAGCACATTGGCTCATGTTGATGACAACGTACTTGAAAACCAAGAGCTATGAGGAGCAAATGTTTGAGGTGAGTGTTTAAAAGATAGAGAAATCAGAGAGATGACATGACAACAGTCTTTACAATTTTTGTATTTTTACAAAATATCTTAATGACAGAAGAATTGTCTGCCTTGGAAGGCATTTAACACTCAATTATTGGAGTTTTTTATACAGAGATTGCATGACAAATTTTAAAGATGCTTACTAGAGCGAGCATGCACAACTTGTGGCCCTCCAGGTGTTTGGGATTCCAACTCCCAGAAGCCCTAGCCAGCTTGCCCAATAGTCAAGAATTCTGGGAGTGGAAGTCCCAAAAGCCTAGAGGGCCACAAATTGTGCAAAGCTGCACTAGAGATTTCCTGAACAACAACTGGTTGGACTAAATGATCCTTGGAGTCCCTTCCCATTCTACGATTCTCAAAAGACTCCAGAATTGTCCAGGGCTCTGAAATATTTTAAGGCTTTGAGACACCGATCCTCAATGCAAAATATAACATAGATGGCCTTCAGTTGTAATGCACTATGTGGGACACAATTCACCCCATCTGGAGACCATCATATTATGGAAAACTGGAACAGAGCCTTCAAAATTTAAGGATTTTAGCAGCAAGACCTTCTTTCTTTTTCCGTTTAAACCTGGAGCTAATGATGCTCTCCTAGACTACAGACTGAGCCTGCTAAATTATTTTACCTCTGCCCCAAATAGTTCAGAGTTCAAAGGATAAGGATTATTGAACACTCTGGCCAGGAGGAATATTTGCCTGGCTGTTCATTTGTATTAGGAGTAATGTTAACAAAATCATTCAGGCTGATTATCCACATGTGCATGGGTTGAGGATAATTGTTCTGTTTATCCACTCTTTTCTGTGCATTTTGCTGTAAGGACTTTAATTTTTAACTTAAGGATCCAAAACAGTAGGGTCATGAAACAAATATTAGGATAAGAATTGTATTGGAAGTATGAGAAATAAATGGTGGGCAGGATATAAGAAGCAATGCATGAAAGCAAACATTTGAAAGGTAATATTTCCATAACTTTAGAAGAAATACTCATAGGAAAAAATAGGGACCTCCTATAAGAGTATAATTATTTATGTATAAGCTGGGATGTACTCAAGACACATTACTATTTGCCTATGTACATATCATTTGACAGCTGGAATGGTGAAGTGGTTTGAGTGTTGGACTATGACTCTGGAAACCAGGGTTTGAATCCCCACACAGCTATGGATAACCACTGGATGCTTGTGTTTTTGTTCTTGTATTACATATCAAACAGTTTAATCAATCAGTTGTTTTTTTAGCACCAAGAAGATTATTATGATTGTTGTTCATTCATTCAGTCGCTTTTGACTCTTCGTTACCTCATGGACCAGCCCACGCCAGAGCTCCCTGTCGGCCATCACCTCCCCTAGCTCCTTCAGAGTCAAGCCAGTCACTTCAAGGATACCATCCATCCATCTTGCCCTTTGTCGGGCCCTCTTCTTTTTTCCTTCCATTTCCCCCACCATAATTATCTTCTCTAAGCTTTCCTTTCTTCTCATGATGTGACCAAAGTACTTTATCTTTGCCTCTACTATTATTGGGATACCGAAATATATTGTTGTCCAAGCAAACAGCAGTGCTGAATTTTAGCATACACAAAAATGAACAAGTCTTTATGGCAGCAGTAATGAAACTGTAGATCTTTATTACTCTACAGTAGTTGTTCCAAATCTTTGTGATTCCGTGTATTTGGGAATTTAACACCCAGAGGTCCCATCCAGCATGGCCAGCTGTCAGGAACACTGTGAGCAGAAGTCCAAAACCCCTGGAAGGCCAAAGATTGGGAACCAGTGCTGTAGAGATTATTTGGAACCCATACATAAGACTTTTCTGAAAGTATTGCAATGTTTAGCTGTTCTGCAAGGGCCATCCAGTCCAACTCCCTTCAAAAACATTCCTGAAAATACAATGGTTATTTATAAGAATAGATTTCAAAATTATTTTTGAAAGTATCTTTTTTTTCAAAAAATAATCAGTTTGTAACAATAATGAAGAAAATTTAAAGGGATTTATAAATGTACCCAAATTTTCTTTCCCACTCCACATGAGCTAAAACACAGGGGAAAAATCTGGTAATCTGCTGTTGATGGAAACATCATGGATTAATTTTCAGGGAAACCTGTCTCTTCTTTGTGTTATATTTAGAATAATGGTCAAATTCAACTTTGACTGCAAAATCTACATAATTTGATGCAAGCATACATCTTTGAGTTGCCTGTCAACTCAAGGCTTTTCTGTTGTTAACTGCTATCAAGTGGACTTCAACTTATGGTGACCCCATGAACAAGAAGCCTCCAAGCCATCCCACCATCAACATCTTTCTTGGTGGTTCTGGAATTCCCTTCCCGGAGAGGCCAGAATGGCCCCTCACTGTTATCCTTTAGTTTTAAAGGATGAGCCAGTAGTTTTAAAGAATGAGCCAGTAGGTCCTATTTGGCATTTTGGTTGTTTTATTTTTTTACTCCATGTGACTTCTTTTAATAATTGTTTGTTTAATTCTAGTTTAAACAACATTTAATTATATTTGTACATTTTAAATTGTATTATTTTTATGGTTGTGAGCTGCTTTGGGTCTTGATCAAGAGAGAGAAGCAGGGAATAACATAACAATAATAACAACTAAAATACAACAACAAAAACAAAAACAGCCCTGATTATGTTTTGCAGACTCAGGGATGAGGTGTTCTTGATTGAGTCTATCTATAATACAGTGCTCCTCTTTTTCTACTGCCTTCTACCTTCGCAAACTTGATTTACTTTCTAGTGAGTCATGCCTTTTCTTGATATGGCCAAAGTATGACAGTTTGAGTTGAGTCAACTAGGTTTCTAGAGTTCAGCCTTCATCTGCTCTAGGAGCCATTTATTTGTCTTTTTAGCAATCTATGGAAATTATAGAACTTTGTTCCAGCACCACATTTCAAATGAGTTGATTTTCTTTTTATCATCTTTCCTCATTTTTCAGCTTTCACACTAGTACATGGAAAACACTTAAGTAATGTATATGAAGCACATGACAATGGTGTGCTTTATTTTTGACAAATGAAATAATATCATATTTGAAGTGCATAGCAAAAGCCTTCTTACACAAAATTAGCAATAAAAGAACATCGGATTATCTTGAGAATAATGATATGTCTGTCTTTTCAGATGGAAATCTCATTTAATATAGTGGGTTTGCTACCTAGAATATGTGTAAGGATTGACTGTGTTTTGCAAGAGTGTGTCTGAGGATTTTACAGTCCTTTCCCTGCAAGGTCTCTCTTCAGGGAGTAAGGTTTGATCTTGCATATCCCTTTTCAGCTAGAATGGAACCATCTGTTGAAGTTATTTCACCATGATGGATCTCTGACACAGGAAGAGGCATGGAAGAGGGTGAATGTTCAGCGTAATGATGGCTCTCCAAGATCTACAACTTTCTTGGCTCTTAGCCATTTCCTTAGACCAACAGCCCATCTACATGGATACGTAAGTTAGGATAGATACATTCTTGCCCACATAGAGGAGATTTGCAAGATAATTTGGAAAACGAAAATACGGTTCTTCTGTCTAACTTACTGGGTTGATGCTGGCTAGACCTCGGATTCATGAGAGCACCAGTCCTGGAGTTCTCTGTAGCAGGAGATAGGATTGCTCTGTTATTTATGAAATGCTAAAAAACAAACCATGTATAAATGAAGTTTCACTCTCCTGAGAATTCTCCCTTTTTATACTTTGAAAAAGTTATGTTTTCATTACAGTTCCCAGAATCCCCCATACATTTCAGCCACATATTGCAGTCTGATATAGAGTGAATGAATGGCATTGCATGTGTATGGTTTGTAGAAGTGCAAATAAATTCAGGGAGGTCTCCCCCTCAATTATAAAAGAACCATAGTGAGTTCTCATTATACTCAATGACTATGAACTCCTGAGCAACTACTGAGAGGAGAAACACCCAGAAAAAGACAAATATGGAAGGAAATTTTCATAGTGTCTGGAATGATGAACAGAAGGGCGTTACAACATTTGATTAGAAGTACAGCTTCAGAGCTAAAATATATTTCATATAGTGGTAGTAGTAGCTATTGCTGTTGTTTTTGTTGTTGATTTGAGCCTTCAACTTGACTCTGACTTATAATGATGCAACTGTAGGGTTTTCTTGGCAAGAGGAAATTTGCCACCAACTCTCTCTGAGGTTCACTGAGTATGACTCATCTAAGGGTACTCAATGGGTTTCCATGGCTGAACAAGAATTCTGGTATCTTAGGGTCATATTCTGACACTCAAACCACTACATTATGCTTTCTCTCTTCATATGTTGTACTTTGCAATTTTTAGGTTCATCAAAAGATTTAATTGAAACATGTTGTGCTGCTGGACAACAATGGGCTATTGACAACAGTGAATGTACAGAAATCCCCGTGAGTGGAACTGATGGTGATATTTGCAGGTATGTAAACTAAAACAGAAAAAAATAATGAAAACTGTCAATTTATAATATGATCCACCTTGAATAAGCATTTCATGAATAGATTCCAGATGACTCTGTGGTTTTGTGTGCATAAGGTTATTTGGCATTGCCTGGAGTTTATGCTGATGATTTTGCTTAGGTTTTGAATAAGACAAACATTTGTGTGCCTAGAATACTTTACATTTATTTCACACCTAATTGTGTGCAGAGTGGATTGAAACCAGCATTTTTCTGTAAAATGCTTAAGCCTTTTCATGTTTGATCAACATTGTTTCATAAACAAGCATTATAAAGATAAAATAAAGATAAAATAGCATTAGTTTCATAAGTATTTTATAAAGATAAAATAGCATTAGTTTCATAAGTACCCAAAGTAAATGATGGATCAGGTCCCAAATTTTACAACAGTTTAGTGGTCCCAAGCCTGATGGCAGCATCAAGCATAACAGGCAAACAGATAAAGTCTTTATGCACTGGTGCACACACATATTTTAGATTTGTGTTATATATATATTGCATTTGTTATATATGTGTGTTATGTATTATATTGTAAACATTTAGATAACTAAATTCAGACTTTATAGGCTTACAAATAAAGAAGACAGTATTTCAGATTATTGCAGATCACTTGCTAGGATGTTACATATAGCAATGAGGAATACTTCCTATCCCAGGGCTGTTTGTTAATTGCAAATTCTGCCCAATCCCCAGAATACTATAAAATATAACTTATGTGAACAATTGAGTATAGTTTTTATAGAAACAGACTTTAGAATTCATCAGAGACTCTTGAGATATGACTGCCCTCTTTCTCAGAAATGTGAAATAATTAGTGGGCATTCGTTGGAATGAACTGTAGGACACTAATCCTCCTCAATTCCTCATGTCAACTTGCCGAGTTCAGCCTAAATACCCTAAAGGCACCAGATCCCATCTGATCTTGGAAGATAAAGCCAAGTCAGCTTTAGTTAGTACTTGAATGGGAGACCACCCATGTTGGGTATATTTCAGAGGGAGGACCTTGCAAAACCTTATGAAATTCATGGGGCCACCATACATCAATAGGAAATTTGAAGGCTCTTGTGCATCCCCTCCTCCCATATATGGAGAAATCAAGAATGTTGGTCCAAATAAACAAGCTATAGCAACGGGAGAAGGGAATCTCTTTAGAAGTTAGTTGGAAATGTCTTACATAACTGGAAACAAACTTCAAATGAAAACTGAATGATCTTCTTAAAAGTGATTCTGTGTTTTAATTAGTGGGCCTTTATTCTTATTTCACATGAAAGTGTCTCAATAGTCACAAGAATGTACTATTTTCCTTGCATCTTACTATGATATAGTTACTATTGATTGGAGTACAGAGACTTTGTGGGCAAGATGTTTATTTTGTGATAAAGTTCTCAGACTGTCTGCTTTTATAAAACAGAATACAATTATCTTTTGTATCATGGCTTGATTGCTACAATAGGTAGAGGCTGGATCCAGATCCAAAGTATGCCAAACCAGAGTACTATAGACACCTCCGAATCCATGTTTGCTGTGGATGGAGTTATAGTGTGGAATTAAAATGTGGGATTTACTGCCACAAGACATACTGAATGTTTCCAATTTATACAGTTTTAAAGTATTATTTATTTATTTATTTATTTAAAACTTTTATATCCCAATCTTCTCTACCTCTGCAGAGGGACTCAGACCAGCTGACAGCAAGGATTCAATGCTAACACTAAAAATCTAAAACATCATACATCAACATTAAATTAAACAAATACATATAGGCTAAATTACATAAAAGCCGTTCGCCAAGATAAAATCATGTCCAACTCAGTCTGTATATTCAGTCCATATATTGTGGTCAGTAACTTTGGTCGATTACCTGTCTCAGATATCATTCCGCAAAAGCTTCATTCCACAGCCAGGTTTTCACTAGCTTTCTAAAGATCAGGAGGGAGGGGGCAGATCTAATTTCATTCGGGAGGGAATTCCATAGCTGAGGGGCCACCGCAGAAAAGGCCCTGTCTCTCGTTCCCACCAGATGCGCCTGCGAAGGTGGCGGGACCGAGAGCAGGGCCTCTCCAGACGATCTTAACACTCTTGATGGTTCATAGGGGAGAATACGTTCGGACAAGTAAACTGGGCTGGAACCATATAGGGTTTTGTAGGTTAAGACCAGCTCTTTGAATTGTGCTCGGAAGCTAATTGGCAGCCAGTGGAGCTGGCGCAACAAGGGAGTTGTATGCTCCCTGTACCTCACTCCTGTTAGTAGCCTGGCTGCCAAGAATTGGACTAATTGCAGCTTCCGGGCAGTCTTCATAGGCAACCCCATGTAGAGAGCGTTTCAGTAGTCTATACGGGATGTAACCAGAGTGTGGACCACCGTGGCCAAGTCAGACTTCCCAAGGTACGGGTGCAGCTAGCGCACAAGCTTTAACTGTGCAAAAGCTCCCCTAGCCACTGCTGAGACCTGGGGTTCCAGGCTCAGCGATGAGTCCAGGATCACTCCCAAGCTGCGAACCTGCGCCTTCAGGAGGAGTGTAACCCCATCCAACACAGACTGTAACCCTATGCCCTGTTCGGGCTTACGACTGACCAGGAGTACCTCTGTCTTGTCTGGATTTAGTTTCAATTTGTTCGCCCTCATCCAGTAAGATTATATATTTATACAGGTAAGGGTCAACACTAGCTACTAATCAAAATGTCCATATATCACCTTCCACACACTGGGAAACACAAAATAGAATGTGAAGTTGCATTTGTATCGTGTGGGTGGGCTTTTAATGAGCAATCCCTTCAGCCACAGTGTAAACTGAATTTTGAATTAAATATTGGAGTGATCCAGAATGGCTTTTCTTATGTTCCTCATGTGTCACTTTGGCTGGACTTGGTTTAGTGGGTTAAGTTCAGATTTAGTGATTCTTTGAGTAGACTCACCAAAATCAATGGGATTCAATCTAATCAGGAGTACCTTGCCCCTTTAATTTGCTAAAATGTTTTGTTTAGCCAATAACTGCCACCTTTATACTATGAAGGTGCCTTGCAAATAGCAGCCAGCCTTTTGAAAGCAACCTGTCTTTTATTTGTTGTAGAATTGCTCAGAAGCAGTGTTGTGTCTCGTATTTAAAGGAAAACAGCTGCATTGCTGGAATGATTGCTGCCAGAGAAGGTGATGTGTGTGAACCAGATGAAAGTGATACCTGTGGAGGATCATTTTATAAGGCAAGATATTCTGCTGAAACCTTTGTAGCACCACTGTTAATATGAATCAGCTCAAGCGTCTGCAATTTAAAAATGTTTGGCATGTGTGATTTGATTTTTGCTTAATTGCAAGGCATCAGGCAGGAAATGGAAATTTCACTTACCTAAGCATTTTGGCTGCCCCCATTAATTTCTTGGCTGTACCAGATGTGCAGTTTTGAATTTTAGAGCTTTCAGGCAGTTTATGCTCTTTTTTTAAAAAAATCTAATTGATAAGAATTTCATTAATGCCTTGGCTATCTCAAGTAGTTTTTAAAAACCTTATTACAGACAATCAGGGAAGTTGATTACTTCAGTTTTTCCTCCCTGCTTAAATATATTTGTTGGCCTGAAAGTGAAGTGAGTAGTTAAAGTGACCTGACTTTGAAAAAGAAGTGATGCTTGGAATATAGAAACTCTGTCTCATAAATAAAGATAGTGGAGCTGCTAAATTAAGGGATGAATCTTTGCATGGCAAAAAATTGCACAGCTGCATTAAGCCCAATGAATCCTATCCAATGGAGTTGAATAAGTTTCTCTGAGTTCAGGACCTGACTTCTTATATTCTCTACCCACCCCCTTTTTTCACAGAACATAACCAAATGATTACCACAATTTACATAGGTAGATGATACCCCAGTGTATTTTACTGCTTTTTAATGTTAATTTTATTCAATCTAACAGTAATATGACAATTAACAACATCATATTTCAACTAAAACTAAACAACAAAGGCAGAAACAAAAACAAAAACAAAAATGAGAGGAAAAAGCACAAGAACCAAAAATGAAAATACCCTTGTGTATTTTATTGCTGTATTCCAGCTGTAGCTGGAAATATATTAATCCTACCTGATACTGTAATATCAAAAAGAATCACAAATACCTAAAATATGAGGCCATTCAAGACAAGGTTCAATTTACTGGGGGTGCTTTTTATTCCTATAGAATAATGTAATTTTTAGATTATAACTTCTGTGTTTTTAAAAACAATTGAAGCTGCTGTGCTGAGATTTATTTTACAGATCACTTCTCTGTTATGCACGCCAGAGCCCGGAAACATTACTTTTTTACACTACAGCTCCCTGTTTTCACCACTGAAGTGTCCGCCCATGCTGGTTTGAGATATTAGGATTGTGCATTATAATGGTACATATAATTATCGGTGCATGTCACTTGAGTCAACAAGTAGAATATTGCATATTTACTGTACATCACTCAGCTTTAATTTTATTACTTTAGAGATTGTATAACACTGTAGTTCACATGACTCTACCAGTGCAAGCGGATTTAAAAGCTTCCTAATGTTTTTTATGGTGACCTCTTTATAAAAAGCACACTTTATATGTGTGTTTTATAAGCTCCCATGGATCATCTAGACTAGAGAAAGTAAATAAAGAAGACACTGTGAGCATTTTGGAGGAAAGGTGACCTGATGACCAATTCCATATTTTGAAATTACCAAGAATTGGTGCTGGTGGGCCACTTGTTTCTGTCTCTTCTTTGCTAATTAGTTAATTTTCCCCAAGGTAGTGGGTAAAATACTGGAAATCTGGGTTACAATGGCAAAGCAGTAAATGTGACCCAGTCATCTGTTCTTAACCTGTGTGTTATGAGGATAAAATATTTAGGTGAGCAGGAAAAATTACAAAATACCTTCAATTTGTTTATTTTTTGAGGAAAAGCCAAATCAAAAAATCTCATTGTCTCAGTGTGACCACTTGAGAAAATACACAGAACCTACTGTGGTGTTCAACAGACCTTTCCTTTTTCAAATTATGTTGGACTATGCTACTGTTTGCTATTGATTGTTAGAAAACAGTAGCATAATGTTATATTTTGTATGACCTAGGTTTCCTCTGTGGTATTCTATCAGACTTACATGTATCGGTGAAATGTCTGTGCAAATGTTTTTTGTTTGTTTGTTTTTTGTTTGTTTTTTTTCGCCTTTGAACCTTGTAACCTAATGGTGGTAGATGGGTGAACAAAGAAAATTGGTATTTTGGTGTAAATCCAGATAATACAATAATACTATGGCAAAGTCTGTGGCCTGTGCACTGAAATCAACATGGGTATAATCCATATTTAAATAAATGGCCTTGCACAATAGTAGCACAAGATCTCCCCCTGAGCCCCCCCCCCAACAGTTAGCATATTTCTGCCATCTGTGGGAAAGGCATCAGGAAAAGTTTCCCTGTTTTCCATGGATCCCTGGAAACTGTACTTCATTCTAAGGGTGCCCTAAGATAGGTCCTTATCTGCCAGTCTCCTGATGTAATATTTGCCAGTGTGGAAGACCAGAGCTGTTGGGGGTCTGGCCTCCAGAGAACACACAAGTGATGATAGAATCCCACTCAACCTGAGTTTGGTCGCAGGTGTCAAACTTTGTATTATTCTCCCTGTGCCAGCTGAAGTGAGGAATTCACCAACCGCCCGAGAAGAATAGCTTTGGTCCTACAAGTGTTCTAGGTGCTTGTCATGACCCTCTGAAATTATTTCTTTTTATTGAGTTTAATTATATGTCTGCCACTGTTCGGTCTGTTTTTATTAAGGAGTAAAATTTAACATGGAAATAAAACAGTAAATTTCCTTAATTGAGTCAATCACTGTTGATAAAAAGGCTTGGGAGTTCTTAATTATTCCCTGGCAGTTTAAAAAATACAGATTTCCAAAAACAGTTGATATTTATTATTTTCATGAGAAAAACCCAAATACAGAAACACATATTTTTTTATTATTTTCTACCTTTTTTTCCAAGAATAGGGCCCATTCCTGTGGAAACTACAAATAAGATAACATTCATAAATGAGGAAGGAAAGTAAAAGAGAAGGCAAGCACTCTTTTGTGCTGCATAGAAGCATAAGAATACAACAAGAATTTGCTCTATAATTGTGCCTATTAAAGATTAATGCATCATCTATTATGACTCTTCAGGACAGACCCCCTAGGAAGGATATAAACATTTAATTATGTACATATATTTGAATTTCATTGTTGCTTCTTCTTCTTCTTCTTCTTCTTCTTCTTCTTCTTCTTATTATTATTATTATTATTATTATTATTATTGTCCCACCTTTCTCCCCTCGGGGACTCAAGGCAGCTAACACTCCAACGTAGGCAAATTTAAAAGGTGCAATACAATATTAAAAAGCAATTAAAAAACAATTGAATAAGCACTCTATTTCACGCCCCACTTTGTTGTTACAGAGACTGTCTCCCCCTTCCGCATCTCCAATGACTGTCTCAGGAGCTTTGGAACTCCCTCCCTCCTTAGAAAAAACATCATTTTTGCCCACAAGGCCCTCAAAGCAGAGTATAATAAAAACAGCAAATATTGCCAAACATTATAAAATGATGAGTCTTAAAATGATACAAATACATGTACCTGTCTAGACATACTTCATTACTTTATAAATAAATTCAGTTTCTCATAAGTGCCATCCTGACAAATTTACTTAAGTGCATAGTGGAAGGTCCTTAATCAATTTGCCCAATTCCAGTCCAGCTCTGTTGCTAGTAAGTATTAACTTTATCTCAAATGGTGGCTTGGATTAAAGAGAGCTTGAGACATGTTACAGCCCAGCCTCTTCCACTTCCATATTGTTCTCTGAGAAGCTGTAACTATGTTTGGCTGAGCGTGGTCACAGAATTTCCTTAGACAGGATACCCAATGATGGCAGGCTCCCAATCAAGTGGAGTTCTGTAGTCTCCTTTCCAGATCCCCATGGTAACATGGGAAATTTGGGAGCAAATGAGGCATGGATCCAGTGCTTATTGCTTGTGTAGCAAAATCAATGTATGAACTCTGAAAAACCTGAATAACCTCTAGGAAGATGTAACCTGACAGCTAATGCAAATTTTTAATTTTTAATTTATATGCTCTCTTTTTTCTGGCATGAGGCCCAAGGCGGCCTAAAATAATGTAGACCAGACCTAGAATCAGAAGAGACTCCAGTGGTCATTCAATCCAAATCTCTTCCCTGCAAGAATATACAATCAAAATATCACAAATAGCTGACTATCCAGCCTCTGCTCAAAAAATCTCCAGAAAAAGGAACTCTACCACACTTCACAGCAGTGTAATCCACTATTGAACAATAGCTCTTACCATCAGGAAGTCTTTTCAGATATTTACATGAAATCTCTTTTCCTGCAGTATGGGTCAGCAAAACAACAACAACAAAACAAGCTTGTTCTATTTTTCATGAATAGGCCTAGTTTTTGTTGATATTTCCCTTTAAGAGGACACCAACTTTGGCTATTCATATGGGAAATATAGCTACAGTCAGGTTGAGTCTTGGAGAAATTGGCAATTGGCAGCTGGATTGGGTGCTTAAGTCATCTATGTGCCAGAATGGCAATGAAAGTAGTTATTTGGGCATAAGTAGTCATAACCCTGGCTCGTTTGCATCTAATCGGGGAAATACATTGAAAAACATTAAAAATAATGTCTCTTCTAACTCCTGGGATTTACTTTGTATCATGCTATACCTAGGGAAAAAATGTGTGTTGATGTAAGGATGTTCATATTAATCCTTTTTATTTGTTGGAAATTATGTGAAGTTCTGCAGTTTGTTGTGATTTGATTTAACAATCTGCAAATAGAATCATAAACTGGATGCCTTGAAGGTAACTATAATTACCTGCTGAGATAAATTAACTTTCTCAGTAAGAGACAACAGGTCTATTATACTTGATTTGTCAGTTTCCAAACATCTTATCAAATAGCTATGGGTGATCAAACATTTACTATTAGGGACAGGTCAACTGTCATGTTACATAATGTAATTTTTTGCCACAGACTACAAGGAATTCTATTTATGGGGGAATATGATTATAAAGCTGTTGTGCTGGAAATGATGTTTGGAAGAATGATGTACCCCATAAAACCCTCATTATCTTCTGCTTCTCCAGCTGTTAAATCACTTGCAGCTCCATTGAGGAGTTGGTTCACACACATAGATCTGACATGTAGGAGAGCCAAGGAGGAAACCTGAGCTACAGCACTGACCAAATATACCCAGGATTTTAAAAAAATAAGCCAGAAGCTATATAGCATTTATCACACCAGTCAGTTTTAGGCTGCTCCATTTGAAAACCACTTATCCCATACTTGGAAAATTAGCAGAATGACAAGCACTCTTTTGCTCCATCATTGCATTTCTGCTTTAGTGTCACCAATTCCTTTGTTAGTTTCCTTACACTTGAAAGATAGCAACAGAATTTTCACTAACTTATTTGCTCTATATTTTGCTCCATTAATCATGTTTTTAATCATGGGAAGCCCTAATTGTGCAATTACATAATGATTATTTAATAGAATTATGTTTTTTCCTATCCGCACTGGGAAGCTGAACACACAACATGCCATTTCTACAATTTTCCCATGCTCTCTCCATGGTTTGGCTTTTGTGTATTAACTCTTTAAACGTTTCCTGTATTTTGTCATTTCTCTGTGCATTAAACCTTAATAGAATTGCATTGAAACTGTGCTATTGTATTACTCCTTTTATTGAAAAATAATGTAAAGATAATCATTCCAAAGATTGATCATACATGTGTTTTCTTTGGAACTTTTGAGAATCCCAATGTCCTCCCAGGCCAACCATCAACAGTAGTCTAAGGGTTCCTTGGCGGAGATCTCTGGGGTATCCCCAAGGAAGAAGCAATGAAACCCCATGCACACTACATTCACAATGCTTCTAAAATCATGATAAAGCAGGATAAGTGGTCATTGATGGATCATTTCAAGTAGTAAAATAATATATTGTCGAAGGCTTTCATGGCTGGAGTTCTTGTGGGTCTTTTCGGGCTATAGAGCCATGTTCTAGAGGCATTTCTCCTGACGTTTTGCCTGCATCTATGGCAATCATCCTCAGAGGTAGTGAGGTCTGTTGGAATTAGGACAATGGGTTTATATATCTGTGGAATGGCTGGGGTGGGGCAAGGAGCTCTTCTCACCTCTGCAGGAGTCTACCGTATACCATGCAGCTGTGGACAAGTCTACATAGGGACCACCAAACGCAGCGCCCAGACACGCATCAAGGAACATGAAAGGCACTGCAGACGACTTCAACCAGAGAAGTCAGCCATAGCAGAGCACCTGATGAACCAGCCTGGACACAGCATATTATTTGGACCACACCAACAACCACCATGTCAGACTACACAGAGAAGCCATTGAAATCTACAAGCATGTGGAGAATTTCAACAGAAAGGAAGAGACCATGAAAATGAACAAAATCTGGCTACCAGTATTAAAAAACTCTAAAATTACAACAGCAAAACAACAGAGAGGAAACAACCAGGATTTTGAGAATCCCAGCAAGAGATTTTCTCAGGCTCAGGCAGGCCTTCAAATGCTAATGAAGGTGATCAGCTGAAACATTCACACCTAACTGCAGCAAGGAAGAGCTCCTTGCCCCACCCCAGCCATTCCACAGATATATAAACCCATTGTCCTAATTCCAACAGACCTCACTACCTCTGAGGATGCTTGCCATAGATGCAGGCGAAACGTCAGGAGAAATGCCTCTAGAACATGGCTCTATAGCCCGAAAAGACCCACAAGAACCTAGTAAAATAATACATTTCCAAGTGGGTTAACTGTGGTACAGTTCCAGGAGGTACAAGATGTAATCCAAGAAGTTCTAGGTAAAGATAGAACACAGTGCTATTGTGGTATAAGACACCCAATGTGATACAGTGGCCCAAGTGTTGCATTAGAACTCTGCTCAACCTTGGAAACCTGCTGGGTGATTTTGTGCAAATCACAGTTTCTTAGCCTCAGAGGAAGGCAATATCAAAAGCTCCCCCAAACAAATCTTGCCAAGAAAAAGCCATAAGACAGAAACTTGAAGGCACACAGCTACAATGTGGTATAACAGTGTTATGCAATAGGTGCCAATCACACTATCTGACAACTGAAATATTTTAAGAGTTGTATGATCATAATGCCTGGGGATGATGGAACTTATGAAAAACAAGGGGATGAAAAGCAATAGCAAATTGCAACAGCAAGGTTTGTTCCCTCCCCATTTTCACAATATCTGCCAATAAACTCTTTTCACACTATATTTAGAAAGCCCTAATTTATAAGTTGCTGAGCTGTTGAGTGCTTCCCCCAAACCCTACCTAATCATCATCGTCATCGTCATCGTCGTCATCTCTATTTGTACCCCATCACCATCTCCCCAAAGGGACTCAGGGCGGCTCACAGAAGCACTCCAAGTGCCACATGCAGACAATACATAAGTATAGATACAATGACAAAAGTATAATCAACAGTGCCTAAAAATCTCATTAATAAAATTATAAAAATTTGAAAAAAATCCTAAAACACAGTGGAACCTGTTGGCCGGCTAAACTGGTTGGAACCCACTTTCATGTACATGATTCTGGACCATTCACAGTGGTGGCCTCAAACTCCATTTACAGTGCTTCCAGATCTCATTTTCTCCCTCCATCTTATAAAAAATCACACCCAAATAAGAAATAACTGTTCAACATTCCTCAGCTTTGCTGATGAATTACTGTTGATACTGTATTTGGCAGATAAGTGAAGCCTTTCTCTGCCTTGTCAGATAGAATACGTGATGCTTTAGTTTTTCAGAAAGGCACCGATGTGCAGGGATATGAATGGTTATTACTAGCCCAGCTCACAAGGTAGAAATGTCTCAGTGAAGTAGCAGCATTCCATAATAACCTACCAGTTCTAATATCATAGAATTAGTTATTTCTCATTTTAAGATTAGGCTTCTCTCAGACCACCTATAGACTGCATTCTGTAAAGCCTATAAACTGGATTATAACCAGTTGCTCTTTGGGGTTTCTGGGAGTTATAGTCTAAAAGTGTGACTTTTTCCAACACTGGTGAAAGCTAGATATGTGCAGGAAGAAGCAACTAAAGCTGCCCATAGCAGGAAATAACAACCAGAGTCCATTTGATGCTAATAAACTTTTCTAGGATTCAAGCACAATCACACAACATAATTTGCCACACTGAAGATCTGATCCAAGACAACTTGTTATCTGAGGTGGAAGAAAATGTGCCTCCATATGCATTCTACACGCAAAACCTCTTTAAACTGCAGTTGAATTTTCACTGATCATAGGATGGTATCTGACACGAGGAATGCAAGGAGATGGCTGCCGTCTTATTAGCAGTCATTTTTCTACCTAATAGTTGGGTTAGTCTTTCTGCAGCTCTTGATGGCCTTTTTGCCCTCCTGTGTACTGTTTAGTCTGTTACCTTTTAAGGTAAAGGTAAAGGTTACCCCTCCCTGACATTAAGTCTAGTCGTGTCCAACTTTGGGGCGTGGTGCTTATCTCCATTTCTAAGCCAGAAAGCCAGCATTGTCCATAGATACCTCAAAGGGCATGTGGCCAACATGACTGCATGGAGCGGTGTTACCTTCCTGCAGAAGCGATACCTATTGGTCTACTCACATTTGCATGTTTTTGAACTGCTAGGTTGGCAGAAGGTGGGCCTAACACTGGGAGATCACTCCTCTGCCTGGATTAGGTCAGCAAGTTCAGCAGGTCAGCAGTTTAACCCACTGAGCCACCAGGGGGCCCTTGTTACCCTGTAGCATCCTTCTTTGTTCAATACTTAGTAGCAGTAAAAGAGAGAACTTCAGCAAGTTTTAATCTGTTTTCATTCATTTTTCCTCAAGGCAAAAAGGAATGAAAGCAGATTAAAACAAATGCATCAAATTGCCCAGTTAGAAAAATAACAAAAGACAGAAAGGGGGAAAGTACCTGATAAAAGAATTAAAGATCCTCTGAGCAATAAGAAACAGTTGAATCCAGCAGGTTAAAAGACAGATCTGTTCAGGAGCTAAAAAATCTCAGTCTCAAACCCCTCCTAAATTGGATAGTGTTAACCATGTGGAAGAAGGCTGTTAATGAAGAAGCAAGAAGGGTTTTCAGAAGAAAGTTCCCACACCTATATATGACCAAGGAAATATAAAGACATGAATATATACATTAGGCAAACAGATCTGGCCCAAGTGATATGTTTGATGTACAATACTACCTTTGTACTTTCTCCCATAGGAATGACAGGTTAATGTCCTTTTATTTTCTCTCAAGTATATGGAAGTTTGCTACTCATGGTGTGTATATGCACAAATTATAATTGAATATACTTTGATAGAAAAAATAAAACCAGTAACTCTACCTTGATCCTGAGTGGCATATTGATATGATTCCTGTCTCTTTGTGTATTTGGCAAAACTTAGAAAAGTTACACTCACAAAATCCCCCAGGAGCTTTGCTGTTTGAGGGATCCTGGGATTTGTATTTCAAAAAAGTAATGTTTCCAAAGTGTGTTGTTGAATCAATGTCACAAATGCATTTCCATCAGCAGCATGCAAACTCTGGTTGGAACCATTCCAGCCACAGAAAGGAAGGCTCACGTTCAATCAAGCTACTCCCTCTGTGGTGTTCATGATCCCTATCTCTTACAGCAATGTTGTGACTGCTGCACAATGGGCTTGCGAGTCAAAAGTGAGGGTCAAAGCTGCGAGTCTAACCCGAATCTTGGCTATCCTTGCAACCACATGATGCTTTCCTGCTGTGAAGGGGAAGACCATCTTACTCCTCCGGAGCTTAAGAGACACCCTGAACCACTGTCAACAGTGACACCTGAAAAACGTAAGTGTTGCATTCTGAAATACAGGAAGCATAATGTGAGTCCTAGTCTTCTCACTCCATAAAAAGAGTCAACCTGGTGGTAGACATATAGGTAAGGATTCCACTGTCAGGCTAAGGAACTTGCCATTTCCAAAAGATTTAGATGCTTCCCAGGTGTTAAAGCAGTCATTTCTTGTGAGCAGCACCAGATTTTGCTCCTGTCTTATCTATGTATGGGTTGTTTCAACACTTTTTGAAAGTGTCATATTTTACCAAGAGGCCAAGCAAGTGTTGCACAGGGAATACTAATGACACTATATGATTGTGTGTTTGACAACATACAAAACATGCTATCAGTATATATGTATCATGGAACATGAAATCTGTTCACTGAGACAGAACACATCTGAAGTCATATATGCAGTATTTGGTGTATATGATACATTAAATATAGAGGAATCAGGACATCTGCTTTAATATAATCACATTTTTTATTTTTCCTTCACTAAATTCTGTGTTCATCAAAGGCAAAGTACTCCTTGCAAATATAAGAAGTTTACACTTCCCTCTCTCATTCCTGCTCTACCCCCACAAATATCTTTGCCTTAATATCTTGATAGGCCCAGTTTGCCTAATATTGGCAAATGGGCAACTTTCAACCTTAAAATATCAAGCCAGTTACAACATAGACCCACTGTGGAAGAAATGAGATCTCTCTCTTTAAAAGAAAATCAAAACAACCACTTCTTTAAAAGTTCTTGCATTCTTTAGAAGCTCTTGTATTCTGAGTATGCTGCTATACTAGCTGCCAGTAAATCATCTAAGCGAAAGGATATCATGTACTGTCAAACAGTAGTACAATTTCTTGCAGTTATTTTTTGCACAGACAGATATCTGATTGCATTGTAAAATAAGAGTATATAATGTATTTCCAGTATGCTGAGATATAAAACTATTGGCTCTGTATATGCATAACACTGCATTTATTCCATGTGAATTTCAGTTGCCATGGTATATGAGTTGGGTGGAAAATGTGTTTCACAGATCATCTGTTATCAGTAGAGCTTTCTCAGAATACAATTGCTTAACTTGCAAATGCAAGATGATCTTAGGACATTATAATCTTATTGCTTGATAATTTATGTTAAATTATAATTTGATAAATGTGTGTTTGTTTGTGTGTGCATGCAAGACTGCATGAATGTCCCTTTAAGTCATCTACTGACCTGTGGAAACCCCATAAGCTTTTCTTAGTTAAGGAATATTCTGAAGTTGTTGCCACCACCTTCCTCTGAAATACAATCTTCAGTACCTAGTACTGTCCGGTGTTTCCCCATCTTTAGACTAACCAGCCTGTCCTTCTGAGCTTCCAAGATCAGACAGGATCTGGTTCCTACGCCCTACTTGATAGATATCATTTGACAGGTACTAATATGAAGAGTTCAGGTAACTGACAAAAGCAACACTAGGGCTGTATACAGATCCATTTTTCAAAACGGGCTCTGGCTGGTTCGGCATTTACGACCAACTGTAACGGGATCAGTGCCACGACCATTTTTTCCAGCTGCAACAGACCACACGACTGCCGATCATTGCTGCTTTCAGTTTCATTCAGCTACACATGGAGCAGGTAGAGGCAGCCAAACACCCGCATGGGGTTTCCTGTAAGCCCTGCCTGTTGAACCAATCAGAACAAAAGAAAGCCCTGGTGTGTCTTTAGCCAAGCTGGGCCTCCATTTTTCTATTGCGAGCAGGCTTCTGAGAGAGACAGATCATGTTCCATCCACTGGTGATCTAAATTCTCAGTGCCAATAGCAGTTTTTTAAAGTCTGATGCCTTAACCCTGGTCTAGTTGGCACTGAAAATTTAGATCACCAGTGGATGGAACATGATCTGTCTCTCTCAGAAGCCTTCTGTCTTCCCGGACCAAAAAGTTGATCTTTCGGCTGCCTGATCAAAAAAATTGAATTTTCCTGCTCTAATTTGGGAGGCTCTCAAAAAATGGATCGGGGGAACCATTAAAATCTGGACACCTAAAACAGCATGAGGTTTAGCCAAATTGCACACCCCTAAACAGCACAGCTTCATATATAAATAATCTTACTCACCAGAAGTATTAAAATCATACACAGACATACTCTAACTCTATGTGGGGTTGCCTTTGAAGACTGCTCGGAAACTCCAACTAGTCCAGCGGGAGGCAGCCAGACTGCTCACCAGGGCGTCATACAGGGGCGTCTCTACGTCCCACTCCGGAGCCTAAGATCCTCTGGGGAGGCCCTGCTTTCGACCCTGCCTCTATCACAGGTGAGATTGGCAGGGACGAGGAGCAGGGCCTTCTCGGTGGTGGCCCCCCGCCTGTGGAATTCACTCCCCAGGGAAATTAGATCTGCAACAACGCTCCTATCCTTTAGGAAAAAACTAAAAACATGGATCTGGGACCAGGCATTCGGACAAGAGGGCAGATAAAGAAAGAACTTTTGACGATGACTAGGAATGATCAATGGATTAGACCTATGGAACTCTGGAAAACGAAATGCTGAGCACGAGAATAGTATATATGATGTTTTATATGATGTTTATATGATGTGTTATGTACTGGTTGTTTGATTGGTTTTAACTGTGATTACTGTTTTTAATTATGGTGTTGTATATTGTGTGTAATTTTTGTACAGGCATCGAATCATGCCTTTTCTTCTTTTTTTAAAAGTATTTTTATTGTTTTATCATAGTTATTACATTTGTTATACATTTGTTTTTAACAGTTGCATATTATTCAACACACTCTTTAACATATAGTCTTATTGTTCTGCTTAACATTCCCCCCCTTTTTCCCCCACCACTGTGCTCCCCTCCCCCCATCTCAAGCTACAACTTTTACATATCATCTGTCCAAAATCTCATTTCTTCGAACCGTGCCTTTTCTGTAAGCCGCCCTGAGTCCTCCTTCGGGGGTTGAGAAGGGCGAGGTAAAAGTACCCAAAAAAAATAAAATAAATAACTAACATTCAATCTAGGTATAGATATGGGAGAGAGAGGTGCTTGAGGCTACGTGACCTTGGAAAATGTAGTTTCAGGCAGCATGACACTATGATAGAGAAATGAAATATGTTTCAGAATCTGAAATATTCATTAGATTTAATTTCAGTTTTAATCAAAATTAGCAACATTTACAATAAAATAAACAATAAAATAAACAATAAAATAAACAACATCAGGTGTACTTATAGAACAACTCAAAAATAACAAACTTAGATATTTAAATATATAAATCAAACATTTAGAACATGTTTACTACTAGATCTAATGATAGCAAACACTCAAAACATTAAAAGTAAAAAAAGCATTTACAAGTCAGCAGGGCTGAGGTGGTGTCCAAGTCAGAGTGATTAAGGTGCTGGCTGAAGAAAATTATTATATTGCACAATTCCACACATTAAAAAGGACCTATGAGGGTCTAGTTACTACCTTCCTCCCACACCCGCCTCCCCATAATATCCACCCCCATTCTTTATGCCCTCCCAGAGATTCCCAGATCCTCACAATTAAGGTGTCCTCTGAATACTGTTTAAGCACAGGAATGCAACCCAGCTCTTCATGGGGGGTATAAACTGTGGTATGAGGTCCTTTGGGAGGCAGGTGGAGTGTGTTTTTTCTCGTGATGGTGAGGTGTCTCTATCCATGTTGGTAAAAGTCCTATAGTGCCAAGATCTTATTGATTGGCTTAACATAGTTGAATTGCAAAGCAGGCTCTGGGTCTAGTGTTGTCTGTTTTATCTGCTGCTGGCGTCAGGTGAGATGGCACAGCTGTGGGGGCCATGCCCAGTATGTTTGGAAAGGCTGGCCCCAGGCAGGAGTTCTAAGGTAGAGTTCTCATCCTCTGGCTGTTTCTACCGCTCAGCAAGAATTTAAGTGGATTAAATATAGAAACATAAATACCATTTGCCATCATTTGGTTTCATTATAGGCAGATGCTTCAGTACAAGAATGTAAGTTTTATCCTTGCAGGCAAGAACAAATAATTTTCTATTTTTCTTCTTGCTGCAAGAAAGTCATTGCAAACTGCTTAGTTTTCAATAGGCGATCACAGTTTTGGAGTTATTGTGTGCAAAAAAAAACCCCACATGATTTTTTTAAAAATGAAAAATTTAAAAATATGAGTAATTTTGCAAAATGGCAGTTTTGATGCAGAAGGTGTCTTGCGCAACAAACAGTATTTTCTATACAAAGCCAACATTTCTATGGAGAAATGTGTTTCCTATTCGGAAAATAGTGTTTTTTGTCCGGGAATCCTATTTTCTGCAGAGAAAAGTGCATTTTCCACCATGGAACAAGTTTCAAATGGCAAAGCTTCTCAATCTTGGATTGTCCTCACAAGTATTTCCTAATACCAAAAGAAAAATCTACATGGAGTCTCTTTTCTTCTAATATGAACCATTTGGTTTGTGTCTAGACTCTCAAGCAGTAGAAAATAAGCTTTGGTAGGGCTCATTCAGCCTTTTTTAATGCTAGATGCCTGGAAATGTTTCATAATTTCTATTAAAATTATGCCTGCTCTGGTAGTTTGGAAATGCAATATTTCCAGCTGTCACCATGTAGGTTCTGAACATTTCTCCCTTTCCAGTTCTTTTACCTTCAGGGGCTGTGTAACTGCATTATATTACTTTAATTTCCCATAAATTATGCTTTTAGAGATCATAAAGTAATTAATGCAGCATGCTTTTATTTTTCATGTTTAATTGGGTTTTGCATAAAAGAGAGCACAGTAATATATTACAACAAAATTCATGTCAGAAAATATGTGGAAAAGAAAGATGGATATTTAATGAATAACTTTTTTTTCTTTTTTAAGTTGAGGTTGGTACTTTGAATTTCTAACATATTCACAATACGGACTCTCTAGATATGCAATGTTACTTCATTACAAAAGGAGGAATGAGATAATTATAGCCTTATGGACAATCATGACCCTCAAGCTGATCTCATGTCCTAACATGTTGTGCTTAGGCTAATTTCTAAAG